TCCAAGCTGAGATGAGGATGACGTTTATTGTACAGTAAGTTTTTAGGGCTTCGTCCCTACAGAAAATATTAGTTGTCAGTTTTGAAATCGACTTTCCCATCCTCGCATATGGTTATGATTGGAGGGGCATGAATGAAACGTTCGCCAAGCTAAAACGACTTTTCTATCTAGTAAACCACTGCAAAACCGTTGATTTTCTGCAGATAGATCGTAACCGGTTACTTTGGCAGTACTTGCGAGTGCTTTCTATGGGGTTTGCAGAACATTTACTATTTGCTCATCCGACTGACCGAAGACTTAAGGGATGGTCAAAAATGAAGGGTGTATGTCTCGACAGAATTTGTTTCAGACGGGTGGTTTTCTGCCGAAGCTCAAACGCAGGAACATTGGACACTGTATGACGCCTCTGACTCTGCGGTGCAAAAATAATGAGCGGCCAATGAAATTGTTTGACTCACTGGCTGCTTAGTAAACCTTTTGAAGATTATGTCGATCAAAAACTTTCTATCTGCATAAAGAATTCAAATAACATCTTTGAAATTGGCATTGATACAAATGATATGATATCCATTTTTGTCCAACATGCTATTGAAAATTGAAATTTCTTATTTAGAATGACAGTTACTATGCGATGCCGCTGACCTCTAATTTTCGTATTTTTAATAATATAAAATCTGATGAGAGGTCTGTTAAAGGAACAACGTAGATGACCGTTAAAATTTCATATCTCTCGAGGCAGTGAGTGTGCTAGAGAAAATTGTCAACTGAAATATCAAAAAATAGAATTTACCTTCTTTTCTCTATGTCAGGAGTGAAGGCTACGCGTTTTTTGGCGTTTCGAACGTTAATAACTTTAGCAAAGTCGTATAGATACGTTGATCAGTCAAGATTTAAAGTGAAAATTTCGTCTATATATCTACTGTAAAATAATAATAAAGTAAGAGCAAAATATTGCTTTGATATTAGAAATGCATATTCAAAGAATTTTAATTTGAAGCGAGTCCATGATATTTCAACCAAGAAAACACTGAATGGGATCCCATCCGTATTTAGTATTCTTGGTAGTGAATCTCATTTTTAAGTGGAATCAGGCATTAGTGTTATAGCCTCGAGCAGTTGGCTCATGCTTCAAATAGCCAAATTGCTGAGAGGCGGACCGGGTCTTTTCCACAAGTTTATTGTAACCTCCAGTTATGGGGCGAAAATATTGCGCAGTAAAGATGCGTCAACATCATCGAACAGAACAACTATGACGCGAGATGTCATGTTTAAACAGAAGTTAGAGCAACAGCATGCTGAATCCAAATCCGCAGTGAGATGGCATTTCTGTACCGGAATTAATGCGCTTTCCAGGCAAATTTCAAGGTTTTTTCAGGTTACCTATTAAATTCGTATGTAATGGCTCAGAAAGTTGCTGAAAAGGCACTCTCTGACTTTTTCCCTTGAAACGTATGTGATTTAGTCATGGCCAAGGAATGAACAGTGTGTCTTCTTTAGCTAAGCCAAAATGTATCATCATTGATGTTGTATGCGCATGGAATCAGTATCTACATGTATGGTTATGTTCAAATGAACTTTTTTCGAAATCCCTAAATTGATCACCATATATACGTGGCGCGTTGACACAGTATCTTAGAGATCTCTTCCGAACTCCGGAGGTGCTGCCTCGATTCTGCTCGAGGGCAATTTTTGTTTCATCCAGAAATTCCTTTGAGAAAGGGATCTGCCTCACATTGATTCAGAGTGGTATTATTCGGTCCACAAAGCGTCGATCTCCAAGCCGATAGGCCTCGATTTAATGCCCAGATCGGATTCCTAGCCCTTCTCCTTTCTGAGATTGATAAATGAGCACCACTTTGTGGAAGGAAGAAGGAAACTACGTGCTACGCTTGCCACATGACTGCATACTGTGTCCTTCAATAAGGCACTCCTGGCTGATGGCATAGAAACGGAGATTAGTATTGATCATCAACTTCGAATAGGACGCCAAAATGATCCAGCGACAATAGGTCACTAAAGATGACTCTTCAGCAGTGATAAACTTTCATCCCTTTTTCTGTACATATATGTGTTTACTGAAAACAGTTTACTCCAAATGATGAACCCATTCTAAAGTTTCAGTCAAATCTATGACTACCCATGCGCAAAAGTTGTCGTATTATTGGTTTATCATTCAACGAATTACATTTTCTTAGCAATAAGCAAACACTGATTTTATAATTTCCCGTACGAATATCAACCGATGACTATACGCTGGCCATTTAACTGTGCAAGTATTTTTTATTCCCTGTTGCATGGACAATCAATGACAAACGTGGTCCGTCGTTTAGAGTATAAAGACATGAATGTATAACACAGAGTCATGCTATTTTGCACCGATTCTCTGCAGGTGTTAAAACACAAATGCGGAATGGCCTGCTTGAACGGACACTTTAGCTACTAGATGTAAAGAAACGGAACGACTACGCATTGTGAATCCGAAAAAGAGACAAAAGACCGTTTTCCTTTCCGCGACGTTTAAACCAGAAATTTTCTGTTAAACATCAGTGTCAGAGGGTTAGCTTTAAGTATGAATGTTTAAGTTGAAACAATAGTAACCAGCGGTTCTATCGTGAATTATGAGATTTTTTGAACTGAAAAGTGAAAGTACGCTTTTTGTATTTAGAGCATGATTTCGTCAATTATGTTTCCTTCCCCTTGTCAGTGTTGCCTTCAAGGAAAAACGCAGCATCATTAAATTATTTCATAGGATTGATAAGGACAATGACCTCAAATCAAATGGTATGCGTTTGTAATCGCAGTCTTCATCTTCATCTTCATTTTCCATCGCCGCTTCTCCTTTCGGGTCGCGGAGGCAGACGCGTCAGACAGT